AACCAGGCCGACAGGGCGGGGAGTTGGGGGTGACCAGGCTGGCAGGGGGGGCAGTTGGGGGTGACCAGGCTGGCAGGCAGAGGCGGTTAGGAGTGATTAGGCTGGTGGTGGGGGCAGTTAGGGGCGATCAGGCAGGCAGGCAGGTGAGCAGGTAGGAGCCAGCGTCTCGGATTGTGAGAGGGATGTCTGACTGCCAGTTTAGGCCCGAGCCTTGGGATTGGGCCTAAACTGGCAGTTGGATATCCCCCGAGGGCCCCGGAATGGAGAGGGTACAGTCTGGGCTGAGGGGACACACACCCCGCACTGTGCACGAATTTCGTGCACCGGGCCTCTAGTTTCTTTATAAAGATAGAGGAAAGGTCTCCTGGAATAAATAAAAGCTTAGTTAGGGGTGGACGAGCTTCGAGACCATGTGTGTCCACCCTTCTGTGCAGAAGTAAAGATATTTGCCTTGTAAAAAAACAAAACAAAACCAACTTAGTCAGGCTTACAGCCAAGATAACATAATAACTTCACACTCTGACATATTTTCCTGCTTCGAATACATAGTTATAATAGATTAAAAGAAATCAATAGTATAATAAGATATAGCCAGGCTTAACCAGATAACTATTTCAGTGACCAAAAAAGGAACAAAAGTGTAAAATGAATAGAGGGACCTCAGTGAAGTGTATGTCAGTGATCTTTGTACTATTCTTGCAAGCTTTCTAAAGGTTTGAAATTTTCTAAATAAAAAGTTTGCAGGAAAGTATCAAAGAAAAAAGATAAACAACAAAGAAAAGACAATGAGATAGCACACATCTTTCATAATAGTAATAGATGTCAAGAGATGACAGGATAATATTTTAAAACTTTGAGTAAAAATAATTGGCAGCCTAAACATTATTAAAATATTATTCACTGGTTGGTAAGGCATTTTCAGACATATGAAGACTAAGAGTTTACCATTCACAGGTCCTCATTAAAAGCACTATTAAAGGATGTACTTCATTCAGCAAGAAGAAAACTGAATCCAGAGGGAAAATGTAGATAACAAGAAATAGTGGTCAGCACAAAATTGATAAAACATAGCCAAATTGCCAAAACTGGTTTGGCTCAGTGGATAGAGCGTCGGCCTGCGGACTGAAAGGTCCCGGGTTCAATTCCGGTCAAGGGCATGTACGTTGGTTGCGGGCACACCCCCAGTAGGAGATGTGCAGGAGGCAGCTGGTCGATGATGTTTCTCTCTCATCGATGTTTCTAACTTCCTATCCCTCTCCCTTCCTCTCTGTAAAAAATCAATAAAATATATTTTTTAAAAAAAACATAGCCAAATTAATAAACTGACTGGAAAAAATATGTATATAAATATCTGCATAATGCTTGATGGTTAAAATATGATCATAAACTTCCAAAGTGTATGTGTAGACATATAAGGGTAACCACTAAAACATTAGAAATCCAGTATCTTCCAAACCAATTCGTAAAATAATTCTATCAAACCAAGCCCTGGCCTGGTGGTTCACTTGGTTGGAGCACTGTCCCCTATACCAAAAGGTTATGATTCGATTCTGGGCAGGGCACATACAGGAGGTAACCAATTGGTATTTCTCACATCAATGTTTCTCCCTCTCTCCTTCTCCCTTCTCTTTCTAAAATCAATACACATATCCTCAGGTAAGAATTTAAAAAAAAGCACACACAAAATTACCAAGCCAAAAAAGTATAAGAAGGAGGAAGGGGGAAGTAGTGAAGAAAAAGCTTGGTAACAGAAAACACAAAATAAGAAATAGGAATGAGTTCCACTATGTTAGTAATCACAATAAATGTAAGTAGATTAATCTCATTTATTAAAAGACATTTTATTGGATGAGTAAACAAAATTCAGCAATATTCTTATAGGGCATGTACAGAATATACACTAAGTTAGAAAATAAAGAGACTTAAAAGATTTGCCAGGCAAATATTTACCAAAGTGATGTAGAAAAATTAACAGAAACAGAATAGACTTTAAAACAAAAGTATTATGGAAAAGTGGTACACTGAATAATAATGAAAGGAACAATCTGCTCATACACTCTAATAATTATAAGCCCTATACCCCTAACAATAAAATCTTTTGTATAAGTTAGTTGAATAACAATGTGGTTATTCCTCACAATATTTTTAATATTATAAAAATAGAATAAGAATCAATGGATATTGAATTATTCAATCTATAAATTGAAAACTTACAAGTTACTCATGCAATTGAACTTCATTAGATGAATTTGTTTTTCAGAATTGTTAAAAACCGGATCAGAAATGGAGTTCATTGCTTTGAAATAGAGTGGGAAAAGCCTGGTATGTATCATTTTAAGCAGTTTAAGCAGCTTTTATAACATTAAACCATATATGTTTAGCAAATATTGTACACAAATGTAAAATATATGTATGTATGTAAAAAATAGAGAAGAAATATGTACCCAGGATTAATTTCATAGTTTCCCTGTGCTATTTAAATAGGCTTTGACTAATAGTAAAGATTAAAAACTTCAAATAATTTTATTTTAATGTCTTAAATTGGCATTTCTTTTGTGACTTAATGTTTAAAAAATAATATGAAGATAGTTTGGATTGGTATTTTTCAAGAAAATACTGCTACAAATGGTCTGCTCATTGGATTTCACTGTGGGGTACTCTTCCTCTCACTTTCTTACTCTTTAGTTTTTATGGGACTTTTTAGTTAGTTGTCTTACTCTTATTTTTGTTATAGACAGAAATACAGTAAACTCGAATTAGCACCAAAACCAAAGGCAAGAAAAGCACAGATTATTTAAATGGAAAATAATCCCAGTTTCATTTCTGTTTGGCATTGAGATTATATTGTGTGATTATGGGTGAATGAGTGAGAGAGTAGATTTATCAATGAAGGTTTAAGTTATAGGTAACTTGAAGAATGAAATTAATAAAGAATTAGATAAACTGTTCTAAGCAATAAGAAGAAGATAGAAAGCTGAAGAATTTTGAAAACTGCTTTGAAGCAGTCCCACAAACCTTAGTCTATTTTCAGGAGGAAAGTGGCATTAACCCAGTTTGGCTGTGCAGATCTGTCTAGAACTGAGGATTGGATGCCCACTTTCACTTATCTTTGTCCTTTAAGGGGAAAATGTACCCCAAGCTAGTTTAATTGAGAAACACCTTAAATTCACTGGTTTCTATTATTTCTACTTTATTATACTCATCAACTAATATTTTCATTAGAGTTTGGCCTCTCTTGAGCTATTTTCCCTCATGTAGGATAAATGCAAAAATTTAGACTGTTACTTATATATCCTATTGTGAATTTATATATAATCCCTCTCGTTTTCATTTATCACTAAGCCTGGGTATATCTTCAAGAGATTGATAACATCTGGAAAATAGTCCAGTATAAACCCCTTATCAGGGGTTACATTTAACATGGTTTTAGTTACCAGCAGTCAGTCACAGTTCAAAAATATTAACTGGGAAATTCCAGAAATAAACAATTCATAAGTTTTAAATTATATGCATTTCTGATAAATTCTTGTGATTGCCTGCTCTGTCCTGCCTGAGATATGAAACATCCCTTTGTCTAGCATATTTAGGCTGTACATGCAGCCCACCCATGAGTCACATAGTAGCCATCTCAGTCATCAGATTGACTGTCACAGTATTGCAATGATTGTGTTCATGTAACCCTTATTTTACTTAATAATGGCTCCAAAGCACAAGAGTAGTGATGCATTTGGACATACCAAAGAGAAGCTTTAGAGTGCTTCCTTGAGTTGACAGGTGAGTACACTACAATAAGATATTTTGAGAGAGAGACCACATTCACATAACTTTAATGATAGTATATTGCTATAATCAATCTGTTTTATTATTGTTGTTGTTAATCTCTTACTGTGCCTATTTACAAATTAAACTTTACCATAAGTATATGTGTATAGAAAAAAACATAGTATGTATGGGGTTCGATACTATTGGTGGTTTCAGGTATCCACTGGAGATCTTGGTTTATAACCCCATGGATAAAGGGGACTACTGTAATATTTTTTGATGACCCTTTCAATCCTGTTCTTTTCATTAGACACCACTAAAGAAAGTTAATATTGAAGTTTTAGTTAACTGTCTATTCCCATTCTTTATCTGGGTCTTAAACACTTATTATACTAAACTAAACCATTTAACCTTACCTACACAAAGACTTATCCTCTACGCAGCTCCTTCTGCCTCTGAAACAAGAGACTTTAAAGTTCTAATTTAAAAGTAATCTCCTTCTAGAAGAACAAAGTTGGAGGGATCACAATACCAGATATCAAGCTATATTACAAAGCCACTGTTCTCAAAGCTGCCTGGTACTAGCACAAGAACAGACTTATAGACCAATGGAACAGAAGAGAGAACCCAGAAATTGACCCAAGCCATTATGCTCAATTAATACTTGACAAAGGAGGCAAGAACATGCAATGGAGTCAAGACAGTCTCTTGGGGGCGACCAGGCCAGCAGCAGTTGGCAGCCAGGCCAGCAGGGGCGGCAGTAAGGGGTGACCTGGCTGGCGGGGGGGAGGGGGGGCAGTTAGGGGCAACCAGGCCGGCAGGGGGGGCAGTTGGGGGTGACCAGGTTGGCAGGCAGAAATATACAAAAATAAACTCAAAATGGATAAAGGACTTAAACGTAAGACAGGAAACCATAAAAATCTTAGAAGAATCCATAGGCAGCAAAATATCAGAAATATGTCATAGCAATATCTTTACCGATACAGCTCCTAGGACAATGGAAACTAAGGAGAAAATAAACAAATGGGACTACATCAAAATAAAACCTTCTGCACAGCAAAAGAAACCATCAATGAAACAACAAGAAAGCCCACTGCATGGGAAAACATATTTGCCAATGTTATATGTGACAAGGGTTTAATCTTCAAAATTTATAGGGAACTCATACAACTTAACAAAGTGAAGATAATCCAATAAAAAAAAAATGGGCAAAGGACCTAAATAGACAGTTTTTGAAAGTGGACATACAGAAGGCCAAGAGACATATGAAAACATGCTCAAAGTCACCAATCATCTGAGAGATGCAAATCAAAACAATGAGGTACCATCTCACACCTGTCAGAATGGCTATCATCAACAAACGACAAGTCCTGGAGAGGATGTGGAGAAAAAGGAACCCTCGTGCACTGCTGATGGGAATGCAGACTGATACGGCCAATATGGAGTTTACTCAAAAAATTAAAAATGGAACTCCCATTTGACCCAGTGATCCCACTTCTAGGAAATATCCCAAGGAATCAGAAATATCAATCAGAAAGGATATATGCACCCCTGTGCTCATAGCAGCACAATTTACAATAGCTAAGATTTGGAAACAGCCTAAGTGCTCATCAGCAGATAAGTGGATTAGAAAACTGTGGTACATCTACACAATGGAATACTAGCTGCTATAAAGAAGAAGGAACTTTTACCATTTGCAACAGCATGGATGGACCTGAAGAGCATTATGCTAAGCGAAATAAGCCAGTCGGAGAAAGATAAATATCACACAATCTCACTTATTTGTGGAATATAATGAACAACATAAACTGATGAACAAAAATAGATCCAGAGACATAGAAGCATCGAACAGACTGTCCAACCTCAAAGGGAAGGTGGGGGTGGGGGGTAGGGGTGTGGGGAGTGGGGAGTATGAGAGCAACCAAAAGACTTGTATGCATGCATATAAACATAACCCATAGATACAGACAGTAAGGGGTGAGGGCATGTGCTGGGGGGTGGGAATGGCTGGGGAGAGGTCAATGGGGGAAAAAGGAGACATATGTAATACTTTAAACAATGAAGAATATAAAAAGATAAAGTAATCTCCCTCCAACTCTTGTTAGGCAGAAGAAAATCAATTCTATACTAGAATCAGCAGATTATTAGAATAGAGATGTTATAAAGCAATATTTGCAATAAATCATCCATTGTGGATGACTTAGTTTACCTGGTAAACTTTGTTACCTGGAAAATTGAATTTTTCATATCTGTAATTAAGGCTATTTTACTGTATTTTTAATCTTTTAGAACATTATGCTATAGAAGATAAACATGGAGAATTAGTTCTACAAACAATAGAAGAAGAATCATTATTTGAAGCAGCTTTTCCAGAGATTGTTGCTGTTTACCACAAACAAAAGTTAGAAATTAAAGAGAAGAAAAAGAAAAGTAAGTATCTCATTTGATAGCCACACACAGCTGTTGTAGAGGAGCTATCTGTTCTACACGAGTCAATATTGTCTAAATTTTGCTGAAGTTCTATATAAGAACTTGCTTCTTTGTCTTGATACACTGTTAAAGCTGAAAAGCCAAGAGTAAACCATTCTCATATGTGACTGATAAGTTAATCAAGTGTTAATAATAGTAATTACACCAACCACTTATTGAGCAAGTAGTATATGTAATATATTTTGGATTATAAATACATTTTCTTTATTTCCCAGAAAAACTAAGGAAGAAAATTCAATCAAACATTGTTTCTGGATGAAATATTTTATAATATGTTATCATTAATTATTTTGTTTGTTTGTTTTTTAATTTTTTGTAAAATATTACAAAGAGTATTACATATGTCTCCTTTTTTTTTTCCCCTTGACATTCCCCAGCCTCCCCTACCTCCCAGTGTCTTGTGTCCATTGGTTATGCTTATATGCATGCATACAAGTCCTTCGGTTGATCTCTCCCGCCCTCCAACCCTCCCCAGCCTTCCCGCTGTAGTTTGACAGTCTGTTCGATGCTGCTCTGCCTCTGTATCTATTTTTGTTCATCAGTTTATAATGGTCTTTATTATCCATAAATGAGTGAGATCATGTGGTATTTTTCTTTCATTGACTGGCTTATTTCACTTAGCGTAATGCTCTCCAATTCCATCCATGCTGTTGCAAATGGTAAGAATTACTTCTTTTTTACAACAGCATAGTATTCCATCGTGTAGATGTACCACAGTTTTCTAATCCATTCATCTGCTGATGGGCACTTAGTCTGTTTCCAGATCTTCCCAATGGTAAATTGTGCTGCTATGAACATAAGGATGCATATATCCTTTTTAATTATTTTTTTATAATTACTTACAATACAGTTTCTAGGAATGCACTGGGACAAAAATGCAAAAATTGCTTATATAGTTTTCAATCTGAACTGTTTAGTTTATTTGTTTATCCAAGTTAAGTCAAATAAAACAGGTTTTAATTATATTGTATTTTTCTTTTCAGGCATGAAAACTAAGCCTAAAGAAAATAATTTGCCACAAACAGATGAGATGAGTTTTCAGTCACTCATAACTTTAAAACCCACATGTGAAATCTCTTCTAAACAGAATTCCCAGTTAAATTTGGAAATTTTCCCTGATTCGGCATTACCCCAAGAATCTATTTCTGCGTCATTGAAGAGCTTGCTTTTATCTGAAGATGCTCTCTGTATGAATACTCAAGAACAGTTAATGTCTTCTTCAAAACCTTTGGCTTCACAGCAAATTACAGCTGTCAGTAAATCTCTAATTTCAGAATCTAGTCAACCAAATATCTCATCCCATAATGTGTCGACGATTGCTGATCTACACTTGAGCAGCATTGATTGGGAGGGAACTTCTTTTAGTAATTCTCCAGCTATTCCAAGGAATACTTGCTCTCATGGCTTAAAATCAGGACTTGAAACAGCCATCCCTCATAGCTTTAAACATATCCCAGGACAATTGTCATGTGACTCAGAATGGTGCACCACAAATAAAGTGTTCAGTTGGGATCTTCAAAAGACTAATCCTGAAGAGCATCTGTGTTCTGGCATTACTGACTTACATAGTCAGGATCTGCCTTTAAAGGAACGAATACTTATAAAATCATTACATCCTCTGGGTAAAGTACAGCCAGACCTGAAAACTTTATCTGTACGCACAGTAAAAGAATCTTGTAAGGCTAGCAGTAGTTCTGATTGTCCGTCACATCTTTCAGAGGATCTAGGAATTTATTTGCAAAAGGAATCTAGGAACTCTAAAGTTCTAAAAGGAGACCAGCTGTTTCCAGAAAACTATAAAGTGAATACTTCTATACCCTATTCTGTCAAAAACATGATAGTAAAGGCCTCTGATGCTAGAGTCGAGCCACCAACTACTTCTTTAGATCATAGTAGAAATGTTGACTTGCAAACCACTCAGAAAATTGTAATGAAGAAAAGTGTTTGCCTTGACAGATATTCCTCTGATGAAGAAAGTGCCCCAGTGTTTGGGAAAGCTATGAATGCAACTGAGAAAATGAAGCAGAGTTTTCAGAAGCACAAACCAGCCCAATTCAAGAAAAATGATGCTAACAAATTGAGTAACCCCAAGATACATATTAAAGAAACGGAACAGTATGTCCAGACTTCTAAAACAGCTGTAAATGAAGGAAACTATTTCCCAGATGCAGCCAAAGTTTCTCTGAGTTCCCTACAGTGTCATAAGGAAAAAGATGACTCTGGTACTTATTTGGATAGTCCTCTTCCTTTATGTCAGAGATTAAAACTGAGGTTCCAAAACACTTGAAATTAAAAATGTTTAAGTGTTAGTTAATATTCTGGTATCATCAGCATTAGCAGAGGCAGAAGGAAGGTGTCTAATTAATGTTTGGCAGAAAAATGTAATGTAGTTTATATGTCAGGAGATACTTTTGCCATTTTAATCAAAATTACAATTTTTAAAAGTTACCTAAAACTTTTATTTTAAAAGATAATCTTTGTGGTAAAACTAGATAATGTATATTTTTAAAACTTACTCTTGCCATATTTTATATCTTTATTGACTATTCTTTAGTCATAGCTTTAAAGTGTTAATACAGTACTAGGCAGAGTAAAGGCTTCATCTTTTTGCTCATTTATACCCATGTCTTGCATAAACCTCTATAGTGTTTATATTTCAGCTTGTTCTCAAGAAGATAATTCTTTGTAATTGCCTAAAATCTCTCAATGTCTTCTATTGTGCCTTTTTGGAGAGTTATATTTCTCTCCATGTGAAGATACTTTTAGTATGCTCTTTTGCTTTGGTAACTTTATTCTCTTTTCTGAGGGGAAAATGGAAAAGGAGGAAGATGATTGATATATATAGAGAAAAAATAATGGTTGTAATGCTGAATAAACTAAGGAAAGCTACTCTTTATATATCCCCAGAAGTTAACAGGTTTGCCAAATGGAGAAAAGATTTGAAAAATAGAATATATAATCAGAAGAGAATTAGAAACTTGCTGAGGATCACACAGCTAATTAATAATGATGTGGGGATTAGATTTCTTGCCTCCTAGTTTGGTGGCATTTTTTCTGTTTTCTTTTTCTTCTATAGCACTTTTTTCTTTTCCTTACTTTTATTTTAAAAATGAATCTATATAATATTGAGTTCAACCTCTCCAAATATTAAGTTGTTTATTCATTTATCACTCAAAAAGTCAAGAGCAAGCATGTCAAACTTTCGACCACTGGGCCATATGCCTCATTTAAATAAACAAGGCATATGGCCCACCAGCTGCGAGTTTGACATGCTTGGTCTAGAGTAGTGGTTCTCAACCTGTGGGTCGCGACCCCTTTGAGGGTCGAACGACCCTTTCACAGGGGTTGCCTAAGACCATCGGAAAACACATATATAATTACATATTTTTATGATTAATCACTATGCTTTAATTATGTTCAATTTGTAACAATGAAATTGGGGGTCACCACAACATGAGGAACTGTATTAAAGGGTCGCGGCATCAGGAAGGTTGAGAACCACTGGTCTAGAGGCAATTAGATTGGACAGGAAAAAGTAAAGCTGTCAATATTTGCAGATGACGAAATTTTGCGTGTACAAGATCTTAAGGAATCCACTAAAAACTACTAGAACTGATAAATGAGTTCACCAAGGTTGCAGGATTTAAGATCAATATACAAACATCGATTGTGGGTCTATATATCTTCAGTGAATAATACTAAATGAAGTTAAGAAAATTCTGTGCACAACAGCACTAAAAGCAATAAAGTGCTTTGTAATAAATTTAGCAAAAGTAAAGAATTTATACTCTAAAAACTGCAAAAGTATTGTTGAATGGAAAATTTTAGAAACTTAAATAAATGGAAAGACATTCCATGTTATGATTAGAAGACTTGATATTAAGATGGCAAACTAATTTACAGATTTAGTGCAGTCCCCATCAATTCCAGCTGATTTCTTTGCAGAAACTGACAAGCTGATTCTAAAATTCATATGGAAATTTATGGGACACAGAATAGGCAAAGCTATCTTTAAAAAGAGAAATGGGAGGAATTGCCCTTCTTAAATCTGATTTGAAAATTTACTACAAAGCTACAGTAATGAAGAATTTGTTGTCATCGCATAAAGGTAGACATATATATTAATCAGTGGGATAGAATTGAGGGTCCAGAAATATACTCTCACATTTATGTTCAATTGATTTTCAACCAGAGTGCCCAGACAACTGAGGGGGAAACAAGAGTAATTCAGCCAATACTACTGGTACAACTGGGTAGCCACATGCAAAAGAATGAAGTTTGACCCCTACCTCTTAGAGTATACAACTAGAGGCCCGGTGCATGAAATTCATGAACAGGTGGGGTCCCTAGGCCTGGCTGGAGATCAGGGCCAATCAGGTTCCCCGCCTCCCTACCTCCCTGCCTCTTCCTTCCCTCGCCACCCACCCCCGGTTCCCTGTCCCAGCCCAGGGCCCGGCCCTGATCAGATGATCAGGACCTGCCGGCCGGGGGGGAGGGACCAGGAGTTTGGCTGGTAGGTCCCATCAGCGATTGGCGCCTGTGGGCTGGGGGCAGCTCCTGTGTTGAGTGTCTGCCCCCTGGTGGTCAGTGTGCGTCATAGTGATCAGTTGTTCAGGTTGCTTGGGCTTATATATACATAATAGAGGCCTGGTGCACAAAAATTTGTGCACTCCAGGGTCAGCCCGGCCTGTGCCCTCTTGCAGTCTGGGACCTCTTGGGGGATGACCACCTGCTGGCTTAGGCCTGCTCCCCGGGGGATTGGGCCTAAGCTGGCAATCAGACATCCCTCTGGCAGCCCGGCAGCCCTTGGGGGATGTCCACTTGCCAGCGGGGAGCAGACCTAAGCTGCAGTCGGACATCCTTAGCGCTGCTGAGGAACCAGGAGAGGCTCCCACCACCACCGCTGTACTGGCAGCCATTAGCCTGGCTTGTGGCTGAGCAGAGCGCCCCCATGTGGGAGCACACTGACCACCAGAGGGCAGCTCCTGCATTGAGCATCTGCCCCCTGGTGGTCAGTGTGTGTCATAGTGACCGGTCATTCCCAGTCTTTCTGCTGTTAGGGTCAGTTTGCATATTACCCTTTTACTATATAGGATAGAGGCCTGGTGCACAGGTGGGGGCCGGCTGGTTTGCCCTGAAGGGTGTCCCGGATCAGGGTTGGGGTCCTGCTTGGGTGCCTGGCCAGCCTGGGTGAGAGGCTGATGGCTGTTTGCAGCTGGTCACACTCCCTTCAGGGTGGGGGTCCCCACTGGGGTGCCTGGCCAGCCTGGATGAGGGGCTGATGGCTGTTTTCAGGCTGGCCACACCCCCTTCAGGGTGGGGTTCCCCACTGGGGTGCCTGGCCAGTCTGGGTGAGGGGCTGAGGGCCATTTTCAGGCTGGCCTGCGACTGAAGCTCCCAGCCTCTCTTTTCTTTTTCTTTTTTTATTCTGGGATTTATTTACCTTCTATAATTGAAACTCTGTTGCTTCACTGGCGCTCCCACCTCTGAGGCTGCGGCTGGCTGAAAGCAGGTATCTGGGGTTTGTTTGGCTTTTATAATTGAAACTTTGTTGCTTTTGGAGCTGTTGCTTTCGGAGCTTAGAACAGGCTGTGGCAGGCCGGGAACCTTGTCTTCCTCCATCACTGGAGCAAGCAAGCCTCCTGCTCTCTTCAGCTGCGTGGCTGCTGACCGCCATCTTTGTTGGCAGTTAATTTGCATATCGCCCTGATTAGCCCATGGGAAGCGTAGTGGAGGTATGGTTAATTACCCTTTTTGTCTTTTATTAAATAGGATAGATAACTCAAATGGATCAAAAACTAAATATGAAAGCTAAAGCTGTAATTAGATGAAAACAAACATAAATCTTTGTGACTTTGAATTAGGAAATGATTTCTTTGGTATGGCACCAAAACCTCAGACAAGGAAAAATAAACTTCATAAAAACTTTGTGTTTCAGAGGGCACCATTAAGAAAAGGAAGAGATAGGCCTGGCTGTGTTGCTCAATGGTTAGGGCATCAGCCTGAGCACCAAAGGGTCTCAGGTTCCATTCTCAGTGCTGGTCAGGGTGCGTGCAGGAGGCACCCAATCCCTCTCTCTCTCCCTCCCTCTCTCTTTCTCTCTCTCTCTCCCTCCCTCCCTCCCTCCCCCTCTCCCCCTCATTTTCTCCACCCACCTCCCTTCATTCTCTCTAAAAAAGTCAGTGGGAAAAATATCCTCAGGTGGGGACTAACAACAACAAAAGAAAAGAGATAACCCACAAAATAGAAAATATTTGCAAATCATAAATATGATAAAGGGTTTATATTAAGAGGGGCTTGTATAAAGAATTCTTAGCTCAATAATAATAAGACAACTCAAAAGCTGGTAAAATATCTGCATAGACATTTCTCCAAAGAAAATATATAAATGGCCAATAAACACATGAAAAAATTCTCATCATTATCAGAAAAAATCAAAACCACAATGAGGTTCCACTTCCCACCTGATAGGATGGCTAAATAAAAAAGACAGATAATAACAAGTATTGGTGAGGATGTGGAGGATTTGGAACCCTTCTAACCTTCTGGTAGGGATATAAAATTGGGTAGCCACTTTGGAAAAAGTCTGGTGGTTCCTCAAATGGTTAAACATAGTTACCACATTATGCATTATATCCACTCCCAAGTATATACCTAAGAAATGAAGGCATATATCCACACAAAAACTTGTACACAGATGTCCATAGAAACATTCATAATAGCCAAAAATGTAAACAACCAGAATGCCCATCAACTGATGAGTGGATAACAAAATGTGGTCTCTTCGTGCAATCCTATATAATAAAGAGCTAATATGCTAATTAGACCAGATGGCAGAACAACCTTTCAGAACGACCTTCTGGAATGACCAGTGGGCAGGTGGCAGGGCTGCAAGGCAGCCAGGGCTGCGAGGGCCAAGGCAGTGGGGCTATGAGGGCCTACCCTTGTGCGAATTTCATGCATTGGGCTTCTAGTTGTCAATAAAATGAAATGAAGTACTAATAAATGTTACAATGTGATGAACCTTGAAAACATGCTAAGTGAAAGAGGCCAGTCATGAAAAAAACCACATGTATAATTCAATTTATATAAAATGTTCCAAATAGGCAAATCTATATAGAAACAAGTTACACTCTTCATAGACTTAAATACTCATGCTCCTTAAATACTTGTGTTTCTTAAATTATCTCTCTTTTCTTACTCTATTCACTATTTCTACATATTTTCTGCTCTCATGATTCAGATACAGATATTTAGCCGAAGCTTTTCTTCTAATATATAGATCTGCTTATTTAACCAATTCCTGACATCACTGGGGATAAAAGTATAGTAATAGAGATGGCAGAAGCTCTGAGTTGCCTGTTACATCTAACCTGGATGTACTTCCAAGCCTTACTGTAACTGGTTCCTGGGTTCTAAGTGGTCAC